AAAGAATGAAATGTAGTTCTACATTAACAGCAACAACAACAACCACCAAAGACAGTTTATTTTTAATTTTGGAAGCTTTCAACGTCCACTGAAAAGGTTAAAACTAAAGTTTATTGCCTTGAAACTCAGTTTGAGGAAGAGTTGTTTTTGCATACTCAATTTCTAAAATGAAGCTCATTTAAACTGTAACCCGAAAATAAAACCAATGGCAACATCTTCAAGTAGAACACCAATGAGTCTGATCACATACCTTCAGGGTGAGCCATCTTCTGCATGGCTGTCGGAGCAATCATGATAGGCATTGAAACTTTGAAGCCCAATATAGTTGCAGTCAAGTCTATCCTGCTTACATCAACAAGAATACGTGGCCGGAATCTGCTTGATGTGAACCAAATAGATAATAAGAACAGAGCTTCAGAATGAGAAAAAGGTGAAAAATAATTAAAGGAAGCAAAGTTGCAATCTCATAACACGGGAATTTTGATGAGCATCTTCGGAAATCAAAAGAAAGTTCAACTTAGATTTTCATGAAAAGCAAGTTTCTAAAGGGCAGAACAGATACATAGAGTTCATGGTTCCGGAGATAAGAAGATTACAGAATCCTTGCGAATGCATTTCGATTCTCTTTCAAAGTCCACTGATCCTCTGCCCCTGATGCATAGTAGTCATAAACCATCTTTGGCAATTTTTCCTTTGCAATTGCTTCATACTCTGTAACATTAGTTATCATCTCCATTTTCACAAGAGTGACTTACGAAGTCCGCAGGATATGCTGAAAGTGAGTTTGAAGTATAGTGATCAAATTACATTAAATGAGATCAAATGCATTTCGACGCAAAGATGGTATGCAAGCATGAAAAACGAATATTTCAAACTTAGTCTTTTGGGTTCATGAATGATATTTCAATTAATCGCCATCAAATGAAAGATTGATCAGTCCACGCATGAAAGCAGGATCTTCTGAAATTTTCATATCAAAACTTTAGTTTCATGATTTGTTGTGTGTTCACTTCAGAGAAAACAGATCCCATTTTACGGGGACCATTTTACTTTATTTGACATTGACAGCAATTCCACTAAAAGGATCACTTTATTTTACACTCTGATGAGCCAGGATCAGATTCAGAAGAAACCCGTGACAAAAGAACAACCCAGTAGCTTAAAGATCAAAACTTTCAAACTGCTTAAACCTCAAACAGTACCCAAAACAATGAATTGCAAACCTTAGCACGAAAATGAAAGTAACTATGATAAGAGTGCCAAACAAACTTAAAACGTGTCATAACCAATTAGAAAAACAAAAACTTACGTTAAACAAGAAAGCAAACAACATTGAATTAAAATGAGGTACTAAGTTGTAAGGGAAAACCTTAGTCTTGGGATAACCAGGTGAGAGATACGATGAGCCTAAAAAGGAACAAGAAAAAGTGACGAGAAAACTCAAAGAGTCGCGAGGTATATAACGAAGAGAAAGAAATAAAAAGGAATATAATTAAGAAATTGTATAGTGACAAAATCACGAGTGCTGTGAATATGACAAGTGCTTGTGAATTTGTTGTCGTGGTAAGTGAGCAATGAGACAAAACAGTTTCATGGAGATGTGAGCTATAGGTTGACCATGATTGCTGTTTCATGGTTCATACGTACTATGTAGCTTTAATACAAGAAAAAAAAATACTTTTAATTCAAAATAATAAAATAAAATTATATTAATTGGCTTTCTTTAGTCACTTGATTGTTCTCCATAAAAGATAATGGCATCTTTTAAAAATGTTAAATTTAACTTTTTAACATATTTTATTTTGTTACAAGTTTAATATTGTTGAATTTATAAGAAAAAGTAATTGGGGGCTTTAGAAAACACATAAAACTTGAATAATTGATAGGAAAGTGGAGTTGGTTTTGACATTGACAGGCAATTAGAACTTGAGAAGTAGATAAATAATATCAGGAAAAATTGTAAATACTAAAATTCTAATTTTTTTATTAAATTATCGGTGTTTTAAAATAAAATATGTTTTGAACGTCACCTTTTTTTTTAATTTAGTCTCTTGCAATGTCTTAGTCTTTGTTTAGATTAAGTGATGAAAAGTAAGATAGTGAAAAAAAAGGAGAAAAATAATACGCATAACTAGAAACACGAAAGTTATTTAGATGGGGTGAAAGATGGTGGAAATAAATTAAAAGTAAGATGACTTTATATATTTTTTATTATTTTTAGTATTTTTTTAATAACTCATCATTATTATTATCTTAGAAAAATACAATAAATTATATGAAAGTTGTCACGTCTCATTTATTTCAGTGCTGAGTCACCTGCTAACTTACATTAATGCACTCACGTCACACATTCGGTGCATTAAAAACCCACTTAGTAATTCATGCACCAAAAGCCACGTGTTGCAGTAGAAGGTTCTGAAGTCAGTATTGGGGGTACAGGTGTCGGCAGGGGAAACGCTCGTCCGTTTGGACGTGGATGGAACAAAATTGTTTTATGAAAAACCATTCCATTTTCCTTCACGCACCTTCTTCCTCCCAAAACTCAGATTTCAATTTTCTCCTCCTTCTCTCTAAAACCCTCCTCCTTCTCTCTTCTGCAACTTACCATTCTCTTCTCCGATCACGTTTCAGAAACCGTAGAAACGTTCCCTGCGCCGTGAGCTCCATCTTGGACCGAACAACTTCCAATTCTGTAACCGGTAAGTTTCCCAACCTAGACGCTCGTTTCTGGATTTCCTGCAAACCCAGATTCAGCTGCATGCAAGGGTGTAAACTAAGTTCCTTCGTTTTCTTTTGGTTAATTTTAGTTGAAGAGTTTAAGAGAAAAGTTGAGAATAGAAAGCCACATTTGGACGAGTCAAGACCACTCACTCTTAGAACGATCACTACTGATCCGGGTAAGGGAAGCTTATTAAATTTAATTCCTATGTTTGCACTGTACTGCATGCACGTGATGTGAATTGTATGAAGTATGATTTATGATATTGGATTTTAGGTATATGAATATGATCATGAATTGATGTATGTAAATGATGAAATGTACTATGGTATGACTAAACTGAAATATGAGATGTATGATGAGATGAATGTATGAAAGTATATGCTGAGAAATGTATTTAATGTAAATGAAACTTTGAATATAAATTTTCATATGATATTGAACATTCGTCATCAAACGGTCTTTGGCCGCTCGGTGTTGTTGTCAGATTCAATTGAAAAGGAATTCTTTCATTTGGAAAGAATTCTATTTGAGGACGAACGCCCTATTATATTAGTCTTACGTTTGAGCGATCGGCCGAACGTAACTATCATGAGTAATTTGTGAGAAGTGAGAAGCTTATAAATATACCTTTGGACTCTTAGTCATTTTGAAATCTAATTTCACCATCGCATAGTACCCTTACTACTTTTCTTTATTATAAACTCAAATCAGCGAAGGGTCTCGTCCCAAAGTGTACGTTATAAGTAGCGCTCGGTCCTATACCGAACGCTCGTTCTTTCCGTAATTACCAACGAGTAGAAATATCGTTCGTCCTGAACTTTCATAGCGTTCGTCCAAAACTTATATAACATTCGTCCTAAATTTCAGTGAATTCACGTACCGCGTTCGGTCATTGACTGGCAGTCGGTTTACTCTAACTAAATTGTCTTTGGTACATTTAATACTAGTCTTTTGTATTTCAATCCAGTGGGATTTGACCCGGAATCTTGATACTTAATTTATTCTAAGTATAAATCGAATCGTTCTAGAGTCAGTTCATTTAACTGATTCAAATTGTAATGACTCTCGTCATGTAAAATGTGTCAGCTTTATTCTTTCGGAAAAGAGGACCTTTCGGTCTCGCTTTTGACGTTCGTCCTCGTTATGAAGAGGATTGAACGCTTGTCCTTTTATGAAAGTGGAACTAAGAATGAAAATGTTATTAAGAGGAAAATTTATAATGTGCGAACAGTATAAGAGATGAAATTATGTTTGTGGATTTGAACGAGCGTTCCAGGGAGGAACGACTCTTGGATGAAAATTTAGATTGTAAAGTATGAATGTGGTAAGCTTAGCTAGAGGGTCATCCTGATATTCCGTGAGTGCTCGTTCTCAAGTAGAGAGGAGTATGTCATGTGTGGGAATGGCAGGAGGCCTTAGTCCACAACTGTAACTTGGACAGAACGGACTAACCTCAGGTGGCAGCTGATGAGAATTCCAGCTATCCCACCTGGGTGCACGAACGTCGTAGCTACACAGAATTCATACAGTCCGGACAGTCTGTCTAGTATCAGGAATTGGTTTGAGTAAATGAATTGATTTAAGTATATGTGGTGACTTATTTGATTTGTTTGATATGTTATGAAATGTATGTTTACTTGAAGTAAATTCAATAAGCTTACCCTTCGTTTTCCATTGTGTTGTTTGTATCTGTATGTCCGTCTTGTCCTTGCAATGATCATCCGTGTGGATGTGAGCAGAGGGAGATGCATCTTTGGAAGAAACGCTTGAGGAAGGAATCATTGCTGAAGATAACCTTGTGGAGGTTGAAGTGAAGGCCGAACAGTAGTGCGTTCGGTTATAATGTTAGATTAGTTAGGTTATCGGGCCGTTTTAGAACGAACGCCCTTTTGTTTTGTGTTAAAGACGTGAACATTCGGTATTTATTTATGTAAACCGTTCGTCATTATTACTTAGTGAACGCTCGTAAAATTTTATGTATCTATGTAAGGCCGTTCGGCCACTTGCGAGCTTAATCTCTTTATTTGTAAGACTGTTTTGTTATATTAATACATGTGAATATTCTATTATATAGTTGATGACTGTATAATTTTGGGATGTTACATTTATTGGTATTAGAGCAGTTTTGTTCTTTTAAGGACACTGTAGGTTATGGGTGCACTGTATTTTTGATTTGTGCTTCATGTATGTTTAATGAGTTATTTTTCTCGTTGAACATGACTAACGTTCGTTTTCTCTGTGTCCCAAAGAACTAATGGCGCCTCGACTCCCTCCTCCACCCCAGCCTAATGAACCTGATGCGCCCAACAACACTAGGTTGTTGGAATCAGTGATAGACAGGCTCCAACAACAAAACGCTACCCTTATGGAGCAGAACGCAGCTGCTCTGCAGCATCTAGAGGCCGCACGCCTCAATTCTGAAGCCACTCAAAGACAACTTATGGACCTCATTGCTGCCACCAGAGGCACGCCAGGAGCGTCCTCTTCTACCGCTACACCACATGCTGAGTGGAGCTTGGAAAGCTTCCTTCAACATCACCCAGCCAAGTTCAGTGGGACGTGCCTTCCTGATGATGCAGGTCAATGGCTGCGAAACATGGAGAGGATTTATAATGCAAAGAGGTGTCTGGATGAAAATCGTTTGGCTTTTACAGAATATCTTCTGACTGGAGAAGCGAGCCACTGGTGGGCGAGCGTGAAGGCTATACTGACGGACGCTCATAGTCCTATTACTTGGGAAGTTTTCAGAAGCAAATTCTATGAGGAGTACTTTCCGGATAGCGTCCGTTTTGCTAAGGAAGTAGAATTTCTGCAACTGGTGCAAGGGGGAATGTCGGTTTCTGAGTACACGAACAAGTTTAAGCACTTGGTTCGTTTTAATACAATGGCGACTAGTGAGGAGTGGTAGTGTAGAAAGTTTGAAAATGGGCTGAGAAGTGATCTGAAGGTGTTGATCTCCAGCTTGTGCATTCGGTCGTTCCCTGCGATGGTTGAGAGGGCTAAAGTATTAGAGAAAAATATGGCTGAGGCGGAACAACAGAAGAAACAACAGGCATCACGAGGACCAATTTATCAAGACCCAATCTGAATCGGAACAGGACTCCATACGCTCGTCCAGCTCAGACAAGTGGGTCTCAAGCTATGGTGGTTGCTGGACAATCAGGGCAGCAGGCGTCGGTTAGATGTTTCCAGTGTGGAGGACCTCATTTTAGGTCAGTGTGCCCTCAGTTGGTTGGAGGAAAATATTGCACTCGGTGTAGGAGAAACGGCCATCTGGAGAACGAGTGCAATATGGGCGGACGTGCTGTTATGAGGCCACCGAACGCTGGAAGGAATCAAACAAGAGGTGGTGGACGAGCCCAAGCTGTTGGGCGTGTGTATGCGATTATTGGTGCAGAAGCAGCAAGTTCAGGTACCCTTATCACCAGTACGTGCTTGTTATATGGAATGTAATGTTGTGTGTTGTTTGATTCGGGGGCGACACACTCCTTCATCTCGAAGGTGTGCGTTGATAAATTGGGAATAGCTAAGAGCGAGATGCAGTTTGACTTAGTGGTGTCAACCCCAGCAGCTGGTGAGATTAGGACATCTACTGTGTGCGTTAGATGTCCTATTATGGTAGAAGGGCGTAGATACAAGTTGAACCTAATATGTTTGTCTCTCAAAGAGTTAGAAGTAATTTTGGGAATGGATTGGCTGAATACCAATCGCATTCTTATAGATTGCGGAGCTAAGGAATTAATTTTTCTTGAAGAAGATGAAGAAGATTTGGGTGTG